TGTAAGAAGCACTTTGACTTACCAAATACCTCACTCCCGCAGGTTCTTCCTTTCATGCAACTGGTCCCCCCAGAGAATCTTCTCTAAGGCGCTGCAGTTGTCAGTCACAGTTCTGACTTCATCGGGTAGAATGCAGAAGCAATAGTCCTACATTGTAAATGAGGACGATTAGGGCCCACCCTCGAACAGGGGCATTGGAGGGAAGAGGTGACCACTAGCCACTGGCGAGCGAGGAATAAGGCAAGTAAAAGTACATTTTACAGGTACTCTAGGAAAAATAAACATTTAACCCTTACCTTTAAAAATATTTTAGCAATTTCTCAAATACCCACTTCTTCAAATCTCCCTATCCATATTCTTTATAGAGACCTGAGTGACAGAATCTCTTGAGAACCCAACCCGATGATACTCACCTTTGCCGCTCCGCTGCTGCAATCTCACTGACCTTGTGAAATACCTGATTCTTCTGAATATGGGTGATCATGTGACCTCCTCCCATGAGGCAATGCTTGGGCCTGAGCAGCCTGGAACCATTTCATATAAGGGAGGAGATGACATCAACCCAATATAAGCTCCAAAGCCACTCGACACATTGCTTTCATGGGGTATTACTCCTGACTCCCTCAAGAGTTTATAAACAACCACGCTTGTCTCCACCCAATAGATTGAAAGCCAATCAGATAATGAATAAAGTTTGGATATAAATTAGTTGAAAAGGTCTGCCATGCTTCCAACAGTCAATAGCCTGGTCGTATTGCTCAATGGGCAAATACGTTTATATACCCTGACTGTAGAAAGAAAATTCAAAAGTAGACTTCCAAGTGTAGTTCCAAGTGGACTGAAAAGGACGGCCAAGTGGAAGTCAAATTCCATTTGGCAGTTTTGCAATGAAAGTTAAAGGGAATGTCTGCTTTGGGAAACACAAACCCCTAGTACCCCTGTACTAAAGTATGAAAGACATACTCAGGTAAGTATGAGGATGGGGCAGTTTATTTTTGTTCAAGGGGCTAGGCAGGCAAGATAACTTTCTATGAGAGCACAGTTATCCTTTAAAACCCAGCTACAATCATTTTGTTTCCCAAACCTCCCCCACCCATCTTATTTTTTTCAACTTGCCTTGCCCATGTGGGGGAAATTTCTTCTTTGCAGTGCAGGTAACATCATCTTTAGCTTTAAGATTTTCATCCCCAAGCGGCACAAGAAGGTGCACCTAGTAGAACTGCATCCATACCAACACTACTAGAGGGGCTTGAGGAGACCAGTCATCCAGCACACAGATAGCCGAGTTGAGGCGACTGGTCTTCTCAACAGGAAATGCTGCCTCAAGAACAGTTAGCAGGCAGCATGACTTAGGGCAGAAAGGAGTTAGGGCCAGCCCAAAGAAAAAGAGGAATGGTAAAGCCGGGCCACTTGCTCTATACAATTCATAAAGGAATTGCGTGGACAGCAGCTTTAGGGCCATTGTTGACGGGCTTTGATGAGCAAACGTATCATGCGTCTGACATCAGTTTGAGATGCTCCCGAGATCATTCCAAATCCATTGCAGGTGCATTTCACCTGCTTTTCCATTCCGATAAACGTTTATGGCAAGAGAAGCAGCTCTGAAGCAATCACAAGCCCGTCAACACTGGCCTTTGAACATCCAACAAGAAACGTGGGTACACTTTATATAGGCCATAATAGGCGTGCAGACCTGGGAAGGTCCGCACTACCTAGTAAAGAGGATCTCACCATAGGTGGTGCAGGATATCTAAGAAACCATTACATGGTTTAACACTCTGGCATCTACTGACACCAAAATATTCATTTTGGGTGGACTGACCCGTTACCAGCAAGATACTAGTGCAGATTCTTACATTACGTCATCACGGATATTCGTGCCGTGCCTGCTGTTGTGACGCTGGACAGAAACACAGCTGTGAATGCTGTAACTTGACCTGGTCTCCTTTTTGTAACAATCGAAGCATTCCCTAAAATCTTCATAGTTGATGAAGCAGGTTCCTCGCTGCATAATCGAAACACTTCCACCTTCAGACAGGTCTTGACCGGGATCTTCGCTGGATATTAAAGACGTGCAAGGTTATTGGTAAGAAGAAAAAAAACAAAAGCAAATGAATCTCCCACAATGGCGGTGATGGAAAATGGCGATCTTATATCCAGAGCATTGTTTTCACAGCATATAACTAGTCACGGAATTGGCGATCTTATATCCAGTGCATTGTTTTCACAGCGCATAACTAATCACGGAATTGGCGATCATATATCCAATGCATTGTTTTCACAGCGTATAACTAGTCACGGAATTGGCGATCTTATATCCAATGCATTGTTTTCACAGCATATAACTAGTCACGGCCTTGGTCTTGTGTACTGCTCACAAAGATCACTTATAAAAGCATTTGCATTTTTATACATCGTTGTTATCCACCAGCTTTAAAAGTCATGTCCATGTGTATTATTATTTGGATGGTGTTATATGGCTGATTTGTCTTATCATGGAGAACTGACTTACATATATCCTCTTGATTAGGGCCACTGACCTTTTAAAGAACCACACAGTGCTTGCTATATATCCTCAGCATGGAACCCTCCTAGGCTTGTTGTATATATTCAGGCTGCAGCTTTTAGTGTGTCCCTGAGCAGGCCAGCGCTTCTTGCAAGTTCCTTTATTGCTGTAAAACAGGAAACCGACATACACAAAGAGAGCCGAGGCTAGAAGCGAGCACAGATGGCTTAGGCCACGCCTTTCTTATCTTATATATACTCAGGCTGAGCCCGCCCCTATAGCCGGCGTCCAATCAAGGACGTAATCGTTAGACAGAAAGATGTTGTCTTGTCGTCACCTCCGATTCCTTGTACACATGTGTGCCGGTGGGCGGGCCTCTGTGTGCGGCTCGCTGTGGTACAAGGGTCATCACGTGACCAGGAGGTACTGAGCTGGGAAGATGGCAGGGTACCTGCAGCCGGAGGATGTGCTGGAGGATCCGGAAGGGAAGAAGCCTCAGGACCTGAGGAGTGTGCTGGTGACCAGCGTCCTGAACCTAGAGCCGTTGGATAAAGATCTGTTCAGGTGCTGCTGACTGCTTCTTCCGGGGAGAATGGACTGAGGTTAGGGGATATTGGACTGTACACTGTGAAGGGAATTTATCAAAACTGGAGCAGACAAAATCTGGAGCGGCTGTGCATGGCAGCCAATCAGCTTCTACCTTTCATTTTCAGATCTTAACTGAACCATCTGAACAGAGAAGCTAATTGGTTGCCATGGGCAACCGCTCCAGTTTTGATCAATTCCCCTCAAAGTGTATGTCACTGCCTGCCATAAAGTCCAGATAGGGTTATACTGAATGGTGAGTGCCCGCTGTACAGACCACTGCAAAATATGGGGGACAATTTACCAAAGCTGGAGCAGTTGCCCATGTCAACCCCAATCAGTGTCTCTTGACTTTGTCAAGCTTTGAAAATGAAAGGGAGAAGCTGATTGGTTGTCCTGGGTAACTGCTCCCGTTTTGTTAAATCCCCCATTGTAGGTTTGTATGAAGTGTGCCCAGACATTAGAAATAACAGGAGAAGTGTTTTAGTAGCTGATTTCTGGCGGCCAGGAAATAAGATGGAGGGGTGGTTGGGGGTCGGCTTTGGTGCTGAAAGGTTAAAGAAGACCTCCAGGTTATAGGGAAATGAACCCTTGCAGAGGGGCTACACCCGCACCACAAGGGTTACCTACTGGTTTGGTCTAGGTTCCAAAATCAAGAAGAAATACTCACCTGATCCTCACAAGTCAATGGATGTGGTGACGTCTCGGGTCCTGAGACAGCTGAAGCCCTGGGGAGGAGAGGCTGCGGGACTGAGGATCAGGCGAGTATTCTCTCTTTTAGATCCTAGACCGAAACAAGTAGTTAACCCTTGTAGGGTGGGGGTAGCCTCGCTGCAAGGGTTAATTTTTTTTTTACATGCTTGGAGTTCTTTAAATTGCTCCCAACACATATTCATGGCAAAACGAGGCCTAGACGAGTTCAGCCTTCCTCAACTTGGCTTCTGATAAATGGGTGGAAGGGGTCATATGTGAAAGTGGGGGACTATGATGTGAAGGAGGGCTTCTGATATATAGGGTGGGGAGGGGAGGGGTCATATGTGAAAGTGGGGGACTGTGCTGGGAAGGAGGGCTTCTGATAAATAGGGGGGTCCCTTCCTGTTAGCCAGGGATGCTGCCTTTCCTAGTGATGAGCAAGTTGGAAGGTGCAGTAGTAGGAGTGATGCAAACTAGAGCACCCCAGATAATTTTGCTCTCCATGAGACATGTGCAGACACTGCTATCTCCCTGCTTTGTAGTATTATTCTAGTACCGGCAGGTTTACTTTGAATGCTGGACACACAAATTAAGCTGTATTCTGCAGTACAGTCTACGCCGGGTACACTAAGCTAGGTGGGTCTTCTGAGAGTTTTTATTCCTGCGTATCACATGTGCAATTTACCTGTTTTGACTGTTCTCCTTTCCAGAGGTTCTCATCACTGGGTACCCGTCACAAAGAGACTGTTCGGTGGGCAGATTGTCGGACAAGCTTTGGTGGCAGCTGCAAGTTCTGTACCCGAGGAAGAACATGTCCACTCCTTACACTGCTACTTCGTACGAGCAGGTGACACAAAACCCACCCCAACCCAAATGTCTTCTACGGTAGTATGATAAATAAGACTCCAGCGTGCTGCTCTGTGGGCACAAATGATATGAAACGACTGCAAACTAAACATACAGGAGAACCCTCGGGCACAAGAACAAAAATAAAATAGCATTTGTATGTAACAAAATCCCACTGCTGTAGTAGAGGAACACTATAGTCCAAGTCATTTCTGTGTCTGAGGCCCACATGGCTTAAAGGAACTATGGGGTTAAGAGCCCGTTCACATTGAGCGGTTCACAAATCGCGCGTTTGTCGATATCGCGCAAATGCTTGCATTGAGCAAGCTTGAATCGCGGCTGAATCCGCTCCAAAAAGGGTCCTGCTGTAGCGACACACGACAGCAGGACCCTTTGCCCCATTGAGAAGCATTGGAGAGCGATATCGCGCGGTAAATTGCCACGATATTGCGGGAATTACCGCGCGATAAATCGCTCAATGTGAACGGGGTCTTAGGCTTTTCCCCATAGTTCTCCTTAGGGTAACGGGAGGACACAAACTAGCGTCCTCCCGTCACCCTAAGCTCAGTATACCGCGAGCTAGAGCTCGCGGTATACTGAGACGCCGCAGCTGAAGCGGATCCCGACAATTCTGTCTGGATCCGCCTAGCTGCGTGACTGACAGCTGGCTCTGCCTATCTAGAGGCAGAGCCAGCTGTACACGCCCCCTCCGCCGTCCGATCCATCAGTCAGCACTGGCGGATCGGGGAGGGAGGAATCCAGCCCCTCCCCCTGTCACGGCAGAGAGCTGTGACAGGATCGAGAGGTGAGCGAACCCGGTATGTGTTCGCTCACCTCCCGATCTACTGAGCCGACCTGTGACAGTCTCATTGTCACAGGTCGGCTAGAACTATGAGGTGAGTGAAAAGCACTCATCTCATAGTTCTCCTTTAAAGCAACCCTGTCTTGGCTTCCAACCATTACTGTGTAGCAAACACTTTCCAATGGCTTAAAGTTGTATGGTAAAAGCTTTGAATAAAACCTGTGTTTATTAAGTGCCCTTCTGCAGTCCGTGTGACCTCATTACTGAGTCTTTATACATTTCAGGCAGGGGCCAGTGGGTGTTGTACATAGATTCCTGAAAACCTTACAGTACTAGTGATGAGCTCAGCGTAGGTAATATTGAAGGAAACTGTCAGTGCATGCTGCTGCCGGGGCATTCTCAATTCCACAGCTGCACGTAAACCAAGGGTCTTGGTGCTAGTGACATCATTGACCTTATATGGCCTTATTAGGTCAATGTTATTGGCCAAAGAAAGTCAATGATGTCACCAGCATCCCACCCCTTTTGATTATGTGCAGCAGTGCGGGGAGGGACGCCCCATCCGCAGCTGGATGGGTCCCTCCCACAGCTCTGTTCCCTGCACAAGCTATGTGCAGCACAGTGATGATGTCACTGCTACGTTTTAAAAGGTAATAATGGGGTTGCACATAAAGAGGATTTATACCCTATGCAGCTATTGAGGATTATATTTAAATGAAAGGTTTTGTGCTCTCTTTTTTTTGTGTTTTCGGCATATTTTGATTTTTTTCTCCTTAGTTTCTAAAGCTATATCTAGTTTTCCGATCACACGTGTTTAATTTTTATAGACTCCAGTAGAAACGGATATGTTCTTAGAATGTGGCACTTGGTATTCGTACAATGTGCAGGCTTACTGTTGTACTTTGCTCGGAGTCATTTCCGGTTCATCTGTAACAGAGTCGCCTTGACTTGTACTCCAATTATCATCTCGCCATGTGCTGATATCGCTGTGACCATTGAGCTGTACTATAGCTGACTCACATTACTGTCGGCTCTACTTTACTGCTCGCCCTTATAAATGTAAATATGCGTCGGGTGCGCCTACATGCGAAAACAACGATTACGCCACACATGTTACATATCACCAGTGCGAGCAATAGTTTTAGGGCCATCAATCACTGATCACACTAAACTGATGAGCGGTAAAAGCTTTTAAAGTATCGCCTATGGCCAATTTTGGGTATGGTAGTTTTTTGCGATTTCGCAGGCGCGTGCAATTTTAAAGCTTGACATGTTTGGTGTCTATTTACCCGACGTGACCCGATCTTTTATATTTTACCCAACAATTGGGTAATAATAAATGTTTTATAACATAACGTAGGGAAAACAGTTTTTTTTTTTCCCAAAATTTTCTGTGCTTTTTTTTCATTATATAGTAAAAATAAAACCCCAGTAGTGATTAAATACCACCAAAAGAAAGCTCTATCTGTCCCTAAAAAATGGTATAAAATTAATTTCAGTACAGCGTTGCATGACGGAATAAATGTCAGTCAAAGTACCGCATCGCTGAATAATGAAAAATGGCCTGGACAGGAAGGGGGTGTAACACCCCGGTCAGCGAGTGGTTAAATAGGCTACAGAGAATACTTTACACTTTGTTGCTTATTTAAGGTAAGGTCTAAAGAGCAAAAAAGCTTGTTGTACTTCTCTCTGATCTTACATTTGTGATCTTATTATATCCACCCCCTAGGGGACCCCGATATTCCAGTCTTGTACCAGGTGGAGAGGACAAGAGATGGCCGAAGTTTCAGCGTTCGTTCTGTAAAAGCCAAACAGCATGGCGTCTCAATCCTGACGTGTCAGGCTTCCTTTCACCGCAGCCAGGAGAGCCCTTTAAAGCACCAGTTTGTGATGCCAACCGTTCCCTCACCAGAAGATCTGCTCACCCGAGAGGAACTCATACTCAAATACTTGAAGTAAGCATGGGCTTTTGTGCTATGGAGGCGCTAAAGGTTTAACCCTTTAAAACCACAGGCAATAGCTCTACACCAGGCATAGGCAACCTCGACCCTCCAGCAGTGGGGAAAGTAAAAGTTCCAACATGCATCTGCTTCTGGGAGTCAAGCCCCGTGGCTGTCAATCTTGCAGTGCCTCGTGGGATGTGTAGTTTTGCCAAAGCTGGGGTGCCGAAGTTACCCAACCTTGCTCTATATGCAACAAGACATGCATAGAGCTATAACCTGTGCACAAGAATGGGTATATTAGTGGCCACATTCCAATGCAATGCAGTGACTGAGCCATTGCAAACAACCGTTAGTCTCACTTCCCAAACAAAATCACCAGGAGAAGTATCCTTATTGTCAAAATAAGTGACGGGTCTTTTTAGTTGAGCATAATAATATTTGCAAATTAGATCATCCAGAAATAGCTGCACTCCAACGGTCTTATGGAAGATAAAAATCTTCCTCCCCATACGTGCTCCACACCGAATACATTTCACCATCCCGGCTTACTCACAGAATAAGCTGGAATAGTCGTTAAAGAATAAGCCAGAAGTTGAAACGCGTTAGTGGTGGTGGAGCACACATGGGGAGGAACAAACCGTATATATTTGCTCCATACATAAACATGATCTTCTGTGAAGACCCTTGGAGTGGGGCTATATCTGGATTGGGTTGCTATGGGTGATGCCGCCCTTGTTTGCCTGGGATGCAGTCATAGTGCAAGCCGGTTCGGGAATGTGAGTGGTGTATGCTGTGGATTGTTTCCAAATTACATGGCTCAAAATAGAATGCCTCAGGCTCAGTACACACAACGAATGATGAGCGATTAGCAGGAATCAGCTGATATTTGATCTGTGGGTGGTCCAATCCCCTTGACAGACAGTGGATCATTAGATTGACTTTTTCGAAGGGACATGCTGCAAAATCGTCAGCCAATAAGCTGCAAGCATGGTTTGGGTATTCTGACAGCAGCCAGCGCTGTTGTCAGAATCCAGTGTACACAGCAGGTGATTTGGTCATCCAGGCTGTTAGCAGGAATGGAGTAATCTGTTATAAATATGACCGTGTTTACCCAGTTTTAAACTGGCCATACACCTATAGATTATCTGCAGATTTCCCATGGTCAGATGGTAAAAGTGCAACAGATCCTTCATCTACACCTAACTGTGTGGATGGGGGAATCTCCCTCTGGGCCAAGCTTCAGTATCTTGCTAGTCGGCCCCGCTGTCACTATACCTGAACAATCTGATTGGATGCAGGCTTTGTTCAGGTATAGTGACAGCCAGTGGGGCTGACTAGCAAGATACTGAAGCTTGGCCCAGCGCGGCGCGCGCGAGCGGGAAATTGCCGTTTTTTAAAAACAGGCAGAGATGCCTATTGCGTCAGGGGCGCATACGTGCAAAAAAGACGATTGCGCCCATTACGCCGCACATGTTGCATATCGCCGCGAACGTCCGAGTGAGAGCAATAATTGTAGGGCCATCAATCACTGATAACACTAAACTGATGAGCGGTAAAAGCTTTCAAAGTGTCGCCTACGGCCAATTTTGGGTACGGTAGTTTTCTGCGATTTTGCAGGTGCGCGCAATTTTAAAGCTTGACATGTTTGGTGCCTATTTACCCGACGTGACCCGACCTTTTATATTTTACCAATTTTGCAAATTGAAATAGCCAATAGGAATCTGGCTATGCATTCCTATGCTGTTTTTTTCTCTTTATTCTGACGGCAGTAGCTGCCAGAATACAAAAAAAAACTGCAGATAGCAAAGAAGCTATTGCTTCCTTGTTATCTGCCATTGTTTCAGGGGGGTTCTCTTCCCCCACGGATTGGGGGAGGGGGGCAGTGGGCACCTCCCTGAAATAGCTTCTTTTAAGTTGGGATTCTTGCCCATGTCTACATGCACTTACTCAAGGTTCAGCGCAATATTGCTCCCAGCTGCTTTTCTGATCATGACGATGTCGGGCCGTGGCTGCGTAATGTATGTCGGTACGGTCACTTGTAGTCTCTGCAAGCGGTGCATGTGACAGGGTGACAACGCAGGAGAGACAGTTGTTGCCCTGTTACAGGAATTACTTGAGCAAGGATAACTTTATTGCAGGATAACTGGGTTTTTTTATCAATAAAAGCTGCAGAAAAACCTTAGAAATGACATTAACATGTTAACGAAAACGGTGGGCAAAATTTGTATTAACCCTTGCAGTGGGGCTACCTCCGCACTTGCTGGGGTTAGCCGCTCGTTTTGATCTAGGGAGCAAAATAAAGTTATACTCACCCGATCCTCGGAGGTCCCCGAAGCCTCTCTCCCCCTCCGCTGCAGCAGTCTAAGGTCCCCGAGTCATCACGTTCTATACACCTGTTTATAGGACGTGTGGACGCCAAGAGGCATACCATCACTGCAGTGGAGGAGGAGACAGCGCTGCGACAGCCAACCGGCTCCGAGGATGGGGGGAGTATAACTTTATTTTAGTCCCTAGATAAATAGGAGCACTTAACCCTTGCAGTGCAGGGGTAGCACCACTACAAGGGTTATTAAAAAGAAAATTGTTGTTCTTTAAACGTCTGCTTCATCTGATGTCACAAGTTCAACTGTTGCAAATCCGGCAATTCAGTCTGAGCTTGTGATGGACAAAAATGCACAAACAAGGGGTTACTTTCAGTAAAAACTGTATTTCAGGTTGGTCAGTAGACCCCAAGTTGTAGATGTCTTCAGTTATATGTGCTCTCCTCCCAAACCTCCCTATTGGTCCTTTAAATGTGAAGGGCAACCTCACTGACCAATCAGGGGGGGGGCAAAGCTTGATGCATATAAATCTTGCCGGCTATAGCTTGGAATCTGCTGATCATGGTGCAGTTATGTTGAGGGTAACCTCTGCATGCACATTTTGTTGCCATGTGCTCAGGTTTGTGACGACTTTACTTATAAAAGCCAACGCTCCGTAATCAATCGTCAGCTTTTCTGTGGACCCCACCATGTAGTCAGAAACCTAGTTAGAAGCACAGCGGCCTCTCTGCAGTGGTCTGCCACGCCTCCGAGTATGAGCTAGAACTCTATAGAATTAAGAGCTCTGACTTACTGGGGGCATGTCGGACCACTGCAGAGAGACCACTGCTTCTGCAAAGAGAACAGCGATCCTTCCCTGCAGCATATTGGCTGATTTACCAGCTAAGCAAACATTAAGACTGTGATCACTTGCCATTTTACTGCACCAGGAGTCACAGCGTTTTAAAGGAGAGTTCGATTGGGCGGAAGTAGAAATAATTGGTTTTTTTTTTAATTATTTTCATACAGGGATCCCAAGCTGGTGGAAAAACATAGACAAGGCCTGACCAAAATTCTGGCACAGGATGTTCCCATTGAGATCAAACCCGTTAATCCACCCGACATGTATGAGCGGGTCCCACAGGAACCACGACAGATGTTCTGGGTGCGAGCCAAGGGTGTTATAGGTAATGGCAGCATAGCGACAGCATTTTATATGCCTCAAGGGTTCTAAATGTGACAACCAGAGCCGCATGCAGAAGAAGGGGGAAAGGAAAATGTCTGTTGTCAACAGCAACCAGTCAATGCTTTATTCTGTTTTCTAACTGCACTGGAGAAATAATAGTTGGAATCTGATTGAAGATGACTTGTAACATGTTTCACCGGACCTCCTTGAATTTTAATTTACTACCCTGCACTACAGTTTTCATTCAAGTAGGTCTGCAAAGGTTGGCAGGCCCACCCCGAGATGAATGGAATTGCATTTTAATTTTATATACCCCCTCTCCACAGCTTTGAATGCCATTGTACATATAGATGCTATTCATTACATGTACAGTCCTGCCCATCCATTCAGCTTCATAAATATTACACTGCCAAGAGTTTCTTTTATAGACAATTTAATAAAAGTAACATTCACAAGGTTTAATAAACATTTGAAATCATGTAAAAGTTTCATTAAATGGTTTTATTTGGTTGTTTGTGTATGAAATAGGCATTTATAAAAGTAATCAGTATATTAAAAATACAAGTCTGAATATTGAAGAGTATAAATATAAATGAAGAAACCGGTTTCCCTTTTATTCTCCTGTTTCTTAGGTCCTGGAGACATGAGATTGCACTGCTGTGTGGCTGCGTATATTTCAGATTACTCCTTTCTGGGAACAGCTCTCCTGCCTCACCTTAATCTTCGCATGGCATTTATGGCTTCTCTTGACCACTCCATGTGGTTCCATGCTCCGTTCAGGGCGGATGACTGGATGTTGTACGAGTGTGAAAGTCACTGGGCAGGTGAGGGCAGAAATGTCTGACTTTAAGGCCCCATTCACACGAGAAACGGACGTATCGGGCAGTTCCGGGAAAGGTGCTGCGTGTGATTAGTACACAGCCCCTGTCCTTCTCTATTTGAATACGCGGCCGTACACCGCCCTATGCTCACCCGTCCATGCGGGGGTCCGTACTCGTACGCTGCCAGGATGGATCCTGTCTGCGTCCGAGCCAGGACAACCGCACCCGTACGGACTTGCACTTGGGGTGAGCGTAGGGCGGCGTATAGCCGCGTAGTCCCATAGAGAAGGGCGGGTGCTGCATACTAATCGCACGCAGCACCTGTCCTTCCCAGGAGCTGCCCGATAGGGCCGTGTACGCAGCACCGAGCTGTACGTGCCGGCCGTTTCTCATGTGAATGAGGCCTAAAAAGGGGAGGGGGGGGGAATTTTTTAATTGCTGAAACAGAAGTTTATCCAACTCATTGTTACTTTCCATACCCAGGTAACAGTCGTGGGCTAGTCCATGGCCGCTTGTGGAGAAGAGATGGTGTCCTAGCAGTCACGTGCGCCCAGGAAGGTGTATTCCGTGTCAGAGAGGATACTCCCAAAAGCAAACTATGACCCAGAAGCTATTGACCACATGACTAAAGGATTCCCGTATCTGAATGAAGACCTGATCATTGCGCTCCCTAACAGTTCTCTCAATCTGTCCTCGTACACCTCCACACTAATGTTTCCTCTCTGCCCTAACGTGAAAATGTTTAAATTGTAAATAATTAGAATATATTTTAATTTATCCTGTGGTGTTAGAAATGTTAAGTGTCTTCTCCATGTTTTGGGATTCTATCGTTTTCAAAGACCTGTAAAGGGAAGCTTGGCAAAAAGTGAACTGTTACAAAGAGAATAGGCCTAGCAAATTGTTGTGCAGGATTGCCACACAAGTCTGAGGAGCCCACAATGCCCAAATCCTCCTTTGTGTCATATGGGCGACTGAAAGGAATGATCGGGTTGTTGTCAGCAATTCAGACACAGATTAAGCCAAGGCTGGCCGCATACTGTTATCAGTTCAGCCATTTCACAGGCATCAGCCCTGCCGCCTCAACAAAAGTCTATGACTCATATTATGTCAAGCAGGTTAGGCTCATGTATTCTGACACCGCCTGCCAGAATACAATGGCTTCAGCGGGAGACTTCTTTCTCCATGCCGTCTAGCATGGATAGAGGAACATTGGATTTTCTATCCTTCACCCCTTATGTGATCCATGTATGACCAGCATAAGCTACAGAGCCAATTTGGAGTACTCAGTCTTACTCCTAAAATTCACCTTCAATTCACCCAACTGATGGAACAAATGGCTTCACTTGGTGCGAGCTCAACAACGAGTAATTATTCGCACACAATGCATATAAATACGATTTCTTACGCTGTTGATAACCGTTTGTTAATAGGGATGCACTGATACCGGTTTTTCAGTATCGAGTACCGATATTTATGTTTCGGTACACGCCAATACGGAGTTCTGGTAGCATGGAGCCGGCTTCCCAGCCAATCAGGAAACCGGGCGGCAAGTCATTACACGCTGCCCATCTTCCTGATCGGCCAGGAAGCTGCCTCCATGTTCCCTCACGGCACTACCTTGGGGGATTTCCTCTGACCGGAAGTTCTGGTATTGGAGCATTTGGGGGGGGGGAGTAAGAGTACTCACCCAAATACTCGGTATCGGTGCATCCATATTTGTAAATTCATCCCAGGTGATTTTGCAGCATGTGAGCTACAAAAACTCCTGGCCCTAAGCCGCTCAGTCTAAAATCAGAGCAGATCTACATACAAAAACACATTTCAAATGCACATTTTAGATAAAACTAGCAGAAGTACGGAATCTTACTGTAAGCTCTTCTCCAAGTCCCTGCTCAACAGCACTGAGACCGGAAGGGTCAGTACTTTGCCAATCAAAGCTCATTTGCTTTGCTCAGAGCATTACAACTTTGTTGTCCTACCTCAGGCTGCTGCAGATCATTGGATAATATTGCTGCTTAAAGGCTCACACACGGCGGCCTCCACCACCCTCTGAAAATCGAACCGCGGTGGACTGCTTCTCAGAGGGTGGTGCAGCGACTGCCCAGCATTCAGGAGGCAATACTCCTGCCTCATGAAATGCAGGTCCCCCCCCCCCATAGGGATTTTCTATAGCAATACCACGTCGTAATTGCCTTTGGCTCCATTCATTGCAACGGTCATGTTTGACAAGCAGCACCACCTGCCAAAAACGACATACTGTATACTTTCTGCCATCATGGTTACGGCCACTAAGTTGACATTGCAGAAGGCGAACAGCGAGGATTGGTAAAACCGCAGGTCAACTGCCTGATTTTACTGCCCCCCGGCAGTCTATGTAAGGGAGGCCTAAAGGAAACTTGTAAAAAAAAAAAAACACATGGACTGCTCTTAAATTCCTTTTAAATATTCTAGCTGCTTGGCCTCCTCTGGTTCCAGTACTTTCTAAATCAGTGACCTGGAACAAGCATGGAGTTAGAACTCCTAACCTGCAAACTTGTCCCAGGAGTATAAAAGTTCATTGGGTCACCATAACCAGAAAACTAGACTTTTTAAAAAGGACCATTATTGCAGCCTTCAGATTCTCTCACTAGAGGTTCCCTTCAGGACCTGAGGATGCTGTCAGGCAGGTGAATCTGATCACAGCAGGCATGGCTTAATAGTATTAGAAACAGGCAAAACTTGTCATATGTATATAAAAGTTTGGCTGGAGTTTGGCGTTGCAGCTCTGGGGTAACACAACAAATCGCCAAAGATTTTATACCAGGGGTGGGCCACTCCGTCCCTCCAGCTGTCGCGTAACTACAAGTCCCATGAGGCATTGCAAGACTGACTGCCACAGGTAGGACTTGCCGAGGCATGTTGGGATTTGTAAGTTAAAGCATAGCTGGAGGGCCACAGTTGCCCAATCCTGTTTTATACACAGGCCGGGGTGCCTAAAGCTGGCCATACACTGCTGAAGTTTTGGCTAGCGCGGGCACAATTTCAAGCTGTGTCAGAGTCCTTCGGCACCTCTCCATTTAACAAAAGTAGATTTTTTTGACTTTTGTTAACTGATCCAGTCTGAGAATTATTAGCCAAACAGCTAGTTCAGGTATTCTGACAGCAACACACCTGCCACTGTTAGAATACAATAGCCTGGCATGGGGGGGATGGGATATCCCCTAGGCACATGGTTTAGCGTAGATGGAGGAATAAAACATTTTCATGCCAGACCTGAATGATAAAAAGGCAGAGTGTATGGCCAGCTTTAGTGTGCTCAGGTCTCAATCTTACGCTTTACACCCGAGAGCAAAGCATGTATAAAAAGTCTTCTACAAAAACAGAATGTAGTGCATGTCACCAAGATGCCTTGGTCGATCAGTCTATTGTCGCTTTGATTAGAATCTCCTTTAGGGTGGGAGTGTTGCTCATGCTGTGCCCGGCCTCCTTCAGCTTCATCAAGGCAGCCTCAGAGTCCCTCTTGTCTCTCCCCACTCGCCAAGACAACTGGATGTGGGCCTGAAGGAAAGCGATGAGTAAAGTCACATTTTGCTCTTGCGATGCCTGCAGAAGAGCCAGTGCCTGTTCGCTGTATGCCTGTGCATCTGCCAATGTATCTAACTCCAGGTGGCACACCACCAGCCCATCGAGCACAAGAAGCCTGTGTGTAGACGCCCATGTCGGGCAAAGCTTTTCTTGCAGGCGCCAGCAGTTTGTCCACAGGGGGAGTGCGAGTTTATATAATCCGGTACATGTCAGCCGCTGCGCCTTCTGCATGTCGCTCAAGTAGAAGAATCCCAGGAATTTTGGAGAGCGTCGTAGAGCGGGCAGTGAAGACACGTGGCAGAGGAACTGCTCAAAGGCCCGGCTGCGTTTTGCGATGGTTTCCGCTGTGAAGTTCTTGTGCAGGCGCTTATGGGGAAAAGACACATTGCTCATTTCTTCAGGATAATGAGAGCGCAGGCTTTTCCTCAGCCGCTCCAGGTCAGAGTAGCGGCAGGTGATGAAGGCGGGTGAAGGATCGTATTGTCCCGAGTGGAGAAGGAAAATGGTGTACATCTGAAATGGAAAATAGAAAGAGGATAGATTACAAGGGCAGGTGTAAAGCTGCACAGTATAGGGCAGGGGTAACCAAACTGTA